TCCCTCAGGGGCAAGCAGCATGGTCGCGTGATGGGGTGAAGCGGCAGCAAGGCAATCCAGCTCCTCCTGTCTGTCCTCAAGAACGTCACAGCCAAGGGCAGTACAGCCAAGAGCAGTCTCACCCCCGACGGACGGAGGACAGGCAGGGACAGGGTCAGAGACAAGACTCGCAAGGTAGTCTAGGCGGTACACAGCAGCAAAGTCAACGAGCTCAGCTACTAGGGCAGACGCAGCAGGAGACGAGAACGTAGGGTCCGTCACAACCATAGCAAGAAGGCGAGTAACAGTCGGACTGGACGCACGAGCAAGGTCAGACGGAGGGTCAGCAACGTCAGGCAGAGAGGACGCAGGAGGTAACGGTAGTACAATACGCTGAGGAACAGAGGAAGGACGGAGTGTCATATCGTGAGTGCCGGGGACAGCCGGAGCACGCGGACGACGAACACGAGGAACACGAGCACGGACATCAGCTCTAGGCTCAGGCTCAAGGTCAAAGCTAGACTCAGGCTCTCGACGCTCAGGGGTGGAAGCACGAGTCTCAGGCTCTCGACGCTCAGTCAGGGACTCAGACACCGCAGTGTAAGGAGCAGGAGCAGGCAGTGGGGAGTGCGGTAGCAGCGGTGGCTGTGACTGGTCCGCTGGCGGACACAGCAACGGAGGAGTAGTACCTGCCACAGGGAAGCCAGTAGCACCTGGCGGAAGACTGAGAATGTGGCGAAGAGCACCAGTAGCTCCCGTACCTCCAGCACGAGCAGCTCCTCCAGTACCCCCAGCAACACCTCTAGCACCAGTAGCACCAGCACCTCCAGCACCACGAGCTCCGACAGCGCCAGCACCTCGAGCACCAGTAGTACCTCCAGCACCTCCAGCACCAGCAATACCACCTGCTCCGGCAGCTCCAGCACCTCCAGTACGAGCACCTCCGGGACCAGTAGCTCCAACACCTCCAGGGTCAGCAGCTCCCGTAGCTCCAGCACCAGTAGCACCAGCACCTCCAGTGCCACCAGCTCCAGTACCTCCAGCACCGGCAGCAGCTTCAGTACCCCCAGCACCAGTAGCTCCAGTACCTCCTGCACCAGCAGCACCTCTAGTACCTCCAGTAGTACCTCCAGCACCTCCAGCACCAGCAGCACCTCCTGGACTAGTAGCTCCAGCACCAGCAGGACCGTACCCTCCACCACCAGGACTGCCTCGCAGAACGACCCACGCACGAATCGCCTGCGGCGAGAGCGTCTCAAGTAGAGCAGGCTGCGGTGGCTGTCCAGCTCCAGTACCTCCAGTAGTGGTAGCTCTAGCACCTCCAGCTCCAGAAGCACCTCTAGTACCTCCAGCTCTAGCACCTCCAGCACCAGCAGCAGCTCCAGTACCTCCAGCACCAGTAGTACCTCTAATACCTCCAGTAGGACCTCCAGGCCTAGTAGCTCCAGTACCTCCAGCTCCAGGACCTCCAGAAGGACTCGCAGCACCCCCAGAGTCAGCACCCCCAGAGTCAGCACCCAAAGTCTCAGTACCCTCAGTCCCAGGACCCTCAGGCTCAGCACGCTCAGTCCCAGCACCCTCAGTCTCAGCACCCTCAGTCTCAGCACCCTCAGGCTCAGTACCCTCAGTCCCAGCACCCTCAGTCCCAGCACCCTCAGTCTCTGCTCCAGTGTCCACAGCAGTAGGCTGCAGAGGCGGCGAAGACGGCAGAGGTGGGAACCCGGGGGGGGTAGCCAGACGAAGAGAGCGGGCACCCCCAGACTCACCACCCCCAGCCCCAGCTCCAGTAGTCTCAGCTCCAGAGTCCACAGTAGCAGGCTGCGGAGGCGGCGAAGACGGCCGTGGCGGGAAAATCGGGGGGGTCGCCAAGCGAGGAGTGTGGCGAGTGGTCGCCGTGTCGTCGGCGACGGCGTCACCCCCCTCAGGTGAGTCAGAGGAGTCAGAAGAGATCTCAACTGGCTCATCCAAGGGGGGTGGGTCTACCTGGGACACACCTGAGGGAGCAGGACCCTGTGGGGGGAGGGGGTCTACCGGGGGGGGGGACTGGTACCAGGAAGAGGGGTGCAAGGGGGACCGGGTGGGACGCGTGCGGGTGAAGTCGATAGTAACAGACCGACTCGTCGAAGGTGACGTCCTGAGAGGACAGAACACGACGCGAGGCAGGGTGGTAGAACTGCCAGGGTGGAGCGTCGGTGGGGAAGCCCAGGAAGACACAGCGGAGAGTGCGAGGAGAGAGCTTGCTCGCTTTGGTATCGCGAACAAGGGAGAGCGCGCCCCAGACCCGAAACGACGACACATCACCAGGCTGTCCCGTCCAACGAAGTGTGGTCGAGGTCTCTGGAGCAGAAACACGGGGCCAGAGGTTGAGCTGATGCGCGGCGTATCGGACCGCAAACGGCCACAGGAAATGGGGAGCAGCCGCATGGATCATGGAGGTACGAGCAACCTCCATGATCAGGCCAATGCGACGCTCAGCGATCCCATTTTGCTCCAGAGAGGCCGGAAGCGTGAACGACTGGGCGATGCCCTCATCCTGGCAGAACGTCTCAAGGACGCCAGAAGAGAACTCACCACCCCTGTCAGAGTGCAGACGCAGGACTGGGAAGTCCTGCTGAAAGCGCTCGTGTAGCTGGAGACGAGTAGCACGGATCCAGGGGATCAAAACACCGCTGACGTCCGCCTTGCGACGCAAGGGGAAGACTGTGGTGTAGCGTCTGTAGTCGTCAACAACCAGCAGGAAGTAGCGCTCCTGGTCCGTCCCACCGACGGGGGCCGGGCCCCACACGTCCAGGTGGAGAGTCTGCAGAGGAGCAGTGGTCGGAGGAAACTCGGAGGAGTGAGGAGCGGCGCGCTGCCGCCCCTCGACGCAAGGAAGGCACGGCGGCGCAAGTGAGCGCGGGAGGGGGGGCAGGGTCTCAGGGAGGCCAGAGACCAGGAGCCGGGAGTGCATGCCGCGCAGACGCTGCAGGGAGGGGTGACCAAGACGGTGGTGCCAGCGCTGAGTCTCGTGCGTGAGTACGCTGCACGAGCAAGACGCAGCTAACTGCCCTGACGCAGACGCTCGACTCGACGCAGCTACCTGACCTGACTCAGCCACCTGTGCAGACGCAGTGGTCAGTGTGTACAGACTAGACCCAGGCTGTCGAGTGAACGTAGCCAGGTGACGGCCAGTCCGGGAGCACGTACAGATCGCCACACGCTGCCCTCCAGGAATAAAGGTATCAACCCAGACATCCTGAATGGCAGCGTTGCTCACCAAGTTCGTCGAGAACGTGGGGAGGTGGAGACCTGACAAAGAGCCGGAGGGGACTGCTGGACAAGGGAGGACCGTGGAGGCTCTCGCAACCACTGGGCCCCCAGAGGGGTCAGCCAGTGAGACTGGGACAGGTGCTGTGAGTGGTGTGACTGTGGTGCAATCACGGAAGAAGCAACGTGACGCGCCTGAGTCAAGCGTGAAAGTGTGCAAGACCTCAGCTGAGGCAGGTCCTGTGGTAGTAGACGCACTAGCACCTAGAGCGTCGGTAGACTCACGGGCACCTAGAGCTGCAGCAGACTCACTAGCACCTGGAGCGGCAGCAGACTCACTAGCACCTGGAGTGGCAGCAGACTCACTAACACCTGGAGTGGCAGCAGACTCACTAACACCAAGAGCAGCAGTCCTAACAGAACGATAACCTCCACCACCAGGACGACCTCGCTGAATAACCCACTCACGAAGCTGCCGAGGGGTGGGGTCGTCCGGGAGAAGCAGTGCCCGCTGCTGTCCACCCCTGGCCGCAGCAACTGCCGCAGAAGTGGCCATGACAGACAGTGACTGTCAGGATTAGGTCCAGCACCTCCAGCTCCTACAGCGCCAGCAGCACCTCCTGCACTCCCAGCAGCACCTCCTCCACTCCCAGTAGCACGAGTAGTAGCAGCAGCAGTAGTAACAGCAGCAGGGCGGTTCGGTGGGGCTGGGAGGCCGCACCTCCACCACTCCCAGCAGTACTCCCTCCAGCAGCAGCAGTAGCAGGGCGGCTCGGGCAGCAGCAGCAGACCGAGCAGCAGCAGCAGCAGCAGCAGTAGACCGAGTAGCACTAGCTGTAGCAGCAGTAGTTGCAGCAGCAGGAGCAGTGACAGTTCAGGTTGGGCGGCGCGGCTCGGACAGGGCGGCGCGGCTCGGACAGGGCGGCGCGGCTCGAGCTCAGTGGCGGAGCAGCAGCGGCAAGCAGCAGCAGCAGCCGGCGCTCAGTAGCAGCAGCAGCAGCAGCAGCAAGGAGGAGCAGCTGCAGCAAGTAGCAGCAGCAGCAGCAAGGAGGAGCAGCTGCAGCAAGTAGCAGCAGCAGCAGCAGCAAGGAGGAGCAGCTGCAGCAAGTAGCAGCAGTAGCAGCAAGGAGGAGCAGCTGCAGCAAGTAGCAGCAGCAGCAGCAAGGAGGAGCAGCTGCAGCAAGTAGCAGCAGCAGTAGCAGGGCAGTGCAGGCGGCAGCAGCACTGCAGCAGCAGTAACACGGGCTGCGTGTGGGCCAGGCATGGGCTGTAAGGGCTGCGTGCGGGCCTGGCGCGGGCTGTACGGGCTGCGTGCGGGCCTACGCGGACTGTACGGGCTTCGCGACGGGCCTACGGGGGCTGTACTGGCTGCGCGCGGGCCTGGCGTGGGCTGTACGGGCTGCGCGACGGCTTGGCGCGGGCTGTACGGGCTGCGCGACGGCCTGGCGCGGGCTGTACGGGCTGTGCGCGGGCCTACGCGGATTGTACGGGCTGCGCACGGCAGAAAAGGGCAGGGCAGCGCGAAACGCTGGGCAGGCAGAAACTAACGGTCGGGCAGGTGAAAACGAATGTGGTGGGCCCTTAATTACGGTCCTAGGCTAGGAACGTCCTAGCTCTTAATACCATGTTAGAATACTAGGAAGGAATGTTGATTAGGTAAGAGGGAGGGGGTACAGGGATATCGAGAGAGTTGGGTTGTACCCTCTAAGGTGTGACCCCTACACAACCTAGAGTAAGATGAACAGAACAATGTGTTTTGACACCTTATTCTGTGCTCACCCAGCAAAACCTTTTCCCTTTGTCTTTTCCCCCTGTCCCATTTCCCCCCACAGCACACTTCTCCACTGAACATTTGGTTGATTTGGAAACAGCATCTGCAGCCTATGGTCGGGAAAGGCCAGCCAGGAGAAGTAGAGCACCGCAGCAGCAACGACCCCAGCCAAGGACATGAGCACAAGGGCGCCAAAATACTTGGGATCGTGGAAGACTATGGCGAGGGTGAGCATGGCGAGCTCTGCTAGGCTGCCCAGAGCCATCTCCGTGGTGCCAAACAGGTTGGCTGATGCTGCTGGAACAGCCTGAATGATTTGACATGCAACTATTTGGTACACCCCCTGGCCCATGCGAGAGAGCACCTGCCACACGATTCAGTGGCATAGAAAAAAGAGTGATGCTTCACACCTACAGCGTGCTTGGTATGGCAGAAACTAAGACTTGATTCATGACAGAGCAAGAAACATGTCTGGAAAAAAAAAAAAAAAAAAAAAAAAAAAAAACTTGATTGGTAAGTAGTTATAGTGGGGAAGACTCACCAGAAGCATGAGGAAGAGCATGAGCAGGCATTGGTACAGAAAGGAAGGGCAGAGATGGAGAGAGGAGAAGTCGAGCACGGAGAGGGCGAGCAAGGTGGCCTGGAAGAGAAGCGCGATGCTGCCCGCCTGGTGTGAGCGACACGGGGGAGCAGTGAGGAGGGGACGAGAGTGAAAGTAAAAAAGGGAGGAGTGAGGTGATAGAAGTCGGAAAAGGTTGATGCTCTCCCCCGTCCCATCTCATTGCCCATGAGTAGCTAGTTACCACTGGAATTCAAATTGCAGCTTTATGTCCCCACACCCGACCAGTGCCCCCATTACAGCCCATCACTTGCCCATCACATCCCATCACTGTCCCCATCACATCCCACCACTGCCCCCATCACAACCCGCCAGTGCCCCCACGGCATCCCAGCGCACCTGCAGAATCCCGAGGTGTGCCACGAGTGCAGGCGACATGAAGGAGGCAGCGAAGCCCATGGCCGCACCGGCGCTGCTGAATGCGCCTATCACCGCCATGCCCACCCCTGCATGCACACTCAAACGAGGCACAGATAAGTCGCACCCACAAGTGAGAGGTAGGAGGTTGCAACATAGACATTTGTAATTGATAAAGGGAGGAGGGGACGGAGCGTTGGGCATGGTGGGAGGGGCAGAGGAACGGACCGTGGTGGAAGAGGAAGGAGGTCATGAGTACCCCGGGTGCAAGCACAGCATTGAAGCACAGCAACACATACGCCATGCTCGCAGGCATCACCGCCTCCTGCACAAAGCTCCTCCACCCCTTCCCTGCTGCTCTCCCCACTGCTGATGCTGCTGCTCCTGCCGCTGCTCCCACTGCCAACCCTGACACAACTACAGCGTGTGTGTATCTCCAGAGAATCCCCCCTGTTGGTGAAAGACTGGGCGAAAGTGCGGTGGTTGCTGTGACACGGGCTGGACTGGCTGGTGGAATGGTTGTGATGTCACATGCCAATTCTGCCCTCTGCATTACAGCCAGTGAGAGCTCTAGCCCTGCTGGTTGTTCCTTGCTTGGCTCTGTGCAAGCAACTGCATCCGAAGACAAGATACCAGTAGCATCACCCGAAGTGCCAAAAGCAGCAGCTGGAGACGTTGCAGAAGCGAGCGGTAGCGCAGCAGTATCAGTAGCCTCGTCATGAGCAGCAGCAGATGCTGTCGGCACCAACCTCTGTGTGGATCGAGTGACCTCGAGGGGAATATTCTGGCTGAGGGCTGCATGCGAGAGGTGGTTTGTGAGAGCAGTCAGCGCAAACTGCACGGGTGACAGTGGTACAGGGAGTGGCGAGGAGGGACGGGAGAGAGAGGAAGGGAGAGATGAAGGTACGAGTGACAGGGAAAGAGGAGCGTATTGCAGAAAAGGCTGAAGATGAACGACAAGGACAGGGTTTGAGGAGTATACTGAATGCGACTTGTGGATAAAAAGTGCAAAAAAAGGGCATAAGAATGGCTGGAGGTGGGTTGCGAGAGGCAGACAGGAAAGGCGGATGCTGAAGACAGGGAAAGGAAAGCAAGAAAAGGCAATGCTCGTTCTTGACATGTGCAAGATAAAAACGCGTGACGGCAGCAGAACTGAAATATAAAAGTGTAGCAGAGTAAGGAAGGAATGGCATACGCAAGGAAGCATACCAGAGCAGGGATGGAGAGGGCAGCAAGAGCAAGGCATGCTCTGACACAGACTAACGGCCCATAAGTGGCAATGAGTGCCCCGAATATGAACGCCCCTGCCACCTGCAGAATGGGGACGGCGAGCAGCGAGAGGGGGAATCGAAAGGGATGCAAGTGAGAGTGGGCAGAGGCTACGGAGTAGGGAGAGGTGAAAAGGAGATGCGCAACCTTATCAAGGATAGATGAATGAGAAAGAATGCGAGTATGGGCCATTTGAAGAGAGGAAGCACAACTAGAAATTGAGGCAATTTGACGAGACACACTGTACAGCTTGCCTCACCTCGCACAGGAGCTCCACCCTCCCTAGCGTAGCCATGGCCATCGCCATGAGCACTGGCCGATCCTCCCCCACCAGCTGAACCATGTGCAGGGTGGGAGGGAGAACAAAGGCGATTGTGAGGCCAGCCAGGCCGCATGCATGCATTTGCCAATGTTCCCGTACCCCCATGTACCATGCATGCCCCCATGCGTGCAAGTGACCAAACACGCTATTGTCGGCAAGCGTATAAAGCTTACCTACGCTTGCGTGTACATGATATGATATGATATGCGCTTGCATTGATCATATACGGTCGCCCATTCTTTCCGGTTGTGAAGAAGAACGAACACTGACTATCTCAAGAAGAAGAACGAACACTGACTATCTCAAGTACACTGCATCTCTCCTCGCCCGAAAAACACAGCCTTGTGCATCCCCCTCCACTGGACCCATGCACCCATGCTCCATGCTCCCATGCTCCCATGCACCCATGCTCCCGTGGTCCCACAAGGGCAGGGCACGCACGACAAGCACCCAGTCGATCTCCACAGCCACGCCTGTCGCCAGCCCCATGAGTCGCTCCACCGCACCCGCCACCACCACCACCACGAACCACCCCTGCTGCAGCACCGCCGCTGCCGGCAGCGCACACAACGCTGACGTGCCGGCTGTGCCGGCAACAGCTGCTGCTGCGGCGTTAGGGAAGGCGAGGTGCAGCGCGTGCATGGTGGCTGCTGCTCCCACCATGATGGCCGTGGACTGGACGCAGGGGAGACGAGAGAGATGGCGCATGGGCAAGAGAGGGGAGGAGAGGTGAGAAGTGCGTAGGGGAGAATAGAAGGCATGGCGAGATGGCTGAAAACCGGGAGTGACTATGGACGGGGATAGAAAGAGAAGCGCGCAGTGCGGGAGGGAGGGTGTTACTGTGGGGCGTGTGATGAGCTGACCTGAGAGACGAGAATCGCTCTGAGAATGGGTACCCTTGGAGCGGAGTCCAATAGGTCACCCACCAGTGGCGCCGCCACACACGCCACCAGCTGCACGTTGCGTTGCAGAAGACGTGGGGGAGGGGAATGGCGGGTGAAAACGTGCGGGAGAAGAGGTGGACGATAAGTGGAAGAAAGCAGGGAAGGGGAACGACCTGAAGGGAGAAACAAGGGTAACGAAAAGAAGGGAGCTAAATCCATCTGAACCTAAAATCTGGGCGTAGGGGAGAGATGGGCAATCGTGAGGGCTTGCGCATGCTGTGGCGTGCAAATGTGTCCACATGGGATTCATACACGTGTAGATGCACATTACGCAAGTGCATGTGCATCATGTGCATGTGCATGTGCTGTGCACGTGCATGTGCATGTGCATGTGCTCACCTGGCTCACGAATCTCGCCACAGCCACCGGCAGTATCGAGCGATGCAATAACACGAGCGAAGCTGTCCCTGCAAACCGCCACGACTGCTCGGCGAAGCAGTTGATGATGAATGTCCAGTACAGGGCTGCAGAGCAGGGAGAAGACGGACGGAGGGAGGCAGGGGGATGGGAAATGGAGGCGGGTGGGCGCCGCACGACCTTCCACGCAGCGGGACCAGAGATATCGCCCTTTCCTTCTCAGGGGGAACGGCAAGGAAGGGACAGCGCATGCAGGACAGTTGTCAGAGGCTTCATTTGCATGACTAAGAACTGGTGAAGGCTTGGAGCTCATGAACGAACCCACCTGCCTGCCAGGGCAATCCGCAGAACCCTAAACCCTGCATTTCGGGGACGGTGACATGAAAAGCTAGAAGAACATGAAGGCTCGAGGAGGAAAGGGACAAGACACACCGTTGACAGGCCTGTCCCTAAGGATATGGGTGTGTCAGGCCTGGCGGGGAGTGTGGGCGAGCGGAGGTAAGTGAGGAGAAAAATGGTCGCTCACCGCACCATGCAAAGCAGCGGGATGGGCAGGGCGGGCCGGTGATGCCTCGTCAGGCAATGACTCTCTCGCGGCCTGCTCCTTGGGCCGTTCCGCCCCGGCCTCTGCCGCCAGCCCGCTTGAATAGCCGCTGCCGTTACTGGTATCACTGTCGCTATCGCTGTCACTGCTGCCGTTACAATCGATCCCAATGTCCCTGCCTGCGCTGAGGCTGCTCAAGCTGCTGACGCTGCTGCTCCTGCTGCTATGGCCCCAGCTGCCCTCACTCAACAGCTGAGCGGTGTCAGGTACATCATTGCTAGGAGCTACTACTTGGAACGTCTCACAAGATACTGAGGTCTCCATCTCGTCAATCTTTTACGATTGATTAGAGAGAAGTGACATGTATGTTTATATTGATACAAGGACCATTAGAAACAGTCCTCTGTCGAGTCCGAGATTGGGAACAGCCTAGTTCACTCAGAACAGGTCGTTTTGGCCAGCATAATGTGATTCTGGCCGCTTGTTGGAGTGAATCAACACTCGAGTAACAAGCAAGGGAACTAACTCCAAGCAAGAGGAGGGCCATCAGATATCTCCAAGGCTGACGCTCAGTGGCAGGCTGGTGTATCGAAACAACGAATACGGGCCATGTGTAACGCCTGTGGGGCTTACACGTAAGGGTATGAGAGCATCCGCTGCGTCTCAAATACAACCCTCGTTTTGACCCAGTGGGTAGCGAGGTGTTAGATTTGGTCTCAGAGCCTGGGGTTCGATTCCTGGCTGGGTCACATTTGAATGTGCCAGTCGCGAACCCAGTGAACGATCCGCCGCTGGCCTGGCCCACCAGCAAAATCGCTGTAGAGCGAGATTCAGGTCCTTGCGAGGGCCGACTGCCCAACGAGGACGTTGGCTCCAGGGGGGGACGAGTGTAACGCCTGTGGGGCTTACACGTAAGGGTATGAGAGCATCCGCTGCGCCTCAAATACAACCCTCGTTTTGACCCAGTGGGTAGCGAGGTGTTACACCATGGGTTTACACTGCGGTGGCGGTCTAAGACCGACGTTGCAATGCGTAGCACAGTGTCCTCTTTTCGAGAGCAGCGTCGGTGGTAATGGGGTTTCCCTTTAGCCCGCGAATCTCAAGACTCGGGTGTTCTTACGACATTCCTTCCATTCATCCTGCGCACTGGCCCCTCGTACGAGAGCGCCTGAATCTCAATCATCCTCCGCTGATCGACCTTTGCCATGATGAGGACTTCCATATCGTCCAACACCCTCTGTTATTACCCACGCTGCAAATTTAAATAGGACACAAAAACTAAGCCTCTTAAATGCATATCTGTGGTAGCAGCACGAAATCACTGTATTCGAGTATCTTCTTCCCGTTCCCGAGGATGAGAACGAAATCTTTTGAACTTGGTCAGCTCTCAAATAAGGGGGATTCTTGCGAGAACAAAGCCGCAACTGAGCGACAGCATTTGGCCCGACTCGGGCCATGCCCTTGTATGGCAGTAATGGAAGGACCCATCTCACCACGAAATCAAGCGCTCACTTTCACACCACACAGAAAGAACAGTACAGCACTACAGTACACGTATGATGGTGGATATACACGGGTAGTGCATTCCAGACAAGTTCCAACGACGCGTGACGTGGCGTGAGGTGTGGGGGGAGAGATTCTGACCTCAAATACCTCTATCTGAACAGCCTTCGTTCTCCAGCCTTGGGCAACAACCCTGAACATCCAGCCAGGCCCGGCTTGCCACTCCGCATGGGCTGGTTTGCTGCAGACCTCGCCAACGAGCTACAGCAGAATTAAAGGCGTGTACGCTTGTATTGCGTCAGTCCCCAAAACACACAGTTGAGAAGCCGTACGATCAACGGCCGAATTGCGTCAGTCCCCAAAACACGCAGGATCTGACAACAGAGCTTCAGAAAAATTCGCCAGAATACAAATCACTTGACTTCCAATTCACTGGCTCAATTCACTTGACTTGGAAGCAGGGCTATTTTTGAGTTTTTGTGCGCAGTTTCAAAAAAGAGTGACTGGTACGAGCCACTCGGCTTGTGCCGAGTGGCACTCGCCATTTGGAGGGTGACATGATCAAGGCCCTGTTCGGTAGCACTCAGAACCCCCAAAATCTAATCAGTTTGGCCGTTGGGACCCGCAACTGACTACGTTTAGTGGCGTGCGACCGTCATGCGACTGCCCGAAATGCCGAACGTAAACAGCTCTGATCAAACAACATCAACAACCCATTCCGAACCTGAAACCAACCAAACTGTCGAGCAATACTTCTGTTGCTACAATGATCCACGGGCAAGTCTGGAATGAATGTGAGATGATGGACAGAACTGGCGGTTTGAGGGTTCATTCGTAGCTCGTGTCTGACATGAGGTCAGACACGAAGTTGAGTGTCGGAAGACCCGAAGTGACCAGGAAATCAGGGTACATTCTTGGCTCGTGTCACACATCAGGTCAGACACGAAGTGGAGAGTCGGAAGACCTGAAGTGACTTGGAATTCAGGCAAATCGGTGTTCGGAAGACCCGAAGTGGGCCACTTCGGGTCTTCCGAACCTCCATCCGAACCTCCACTTCGTGTTTGACACGAGGTAGGAATGTACCCTCAGGCAAAATCAATGTTCGGAAGACCTGAAGTGGGCCACTTCGGGTCTTCCGAATCTCATCCGAACCTCAACTTCGTGTCTGACATGAGATACGAATGTACTAGTTCTCAAACGACCATTTCCCGTTGCTGCTTCATTGCGTTTTTCAAAGGGGGCAGATTTAGGGTAAAACCACGGGTCCCCCGGATGAACTTCAGCCCGGTTTGAGGGTAAAACAACTTGCTAGCCTTCTGCCCCCTCGAACACGCTACGCAATGTTATAGGTGCGGGAAGTTTTCCAAAATTTTTCCCCTTGCTTTGCACTGACCGCAGGCACAAGTGAGGGTGACCCTAGGCCGAAAATATATCATTTCGTTGAAATTGTTAAACGGATTCGTCGAAGGTTGAACCGTTTATGTTGGCCATTGAGGTTCTCCATTCAACAAGAAGTGGTTTGTCGTTTGCGCGCACAGTGCCTCGACCTGTTAGATTTTGCTGAGGTGTATCCGAGCTGTCAGAACTACACAGCAAAACAAATTGCATTTGGTCAAACATGTTTGAAGGTTCAGAACCACACCTAAACTTTGGTTCCGAACCTCACTTCCGAATATCATGCATTTCTGCTACCGAACAGGGCCCAAGTAAACCAATAGGGTAATATCAACCGGATCTCTCATTTTCAGGAAGGCTGCATCGTGGATCAAGCTGGCCAGGCCTTCCCAAACCAAACTAATAGGGTTGGAGCGAGTTACCGATTCCCATAAAATAGGAATCTCGCCCTCAGACGTCACCCCGATTTCGCCGAAAGTCGCCGACCTGTACCGAACCTCGACCTCCCTAGGTTCCTGCGTTGCTAGGGTTCCCCCTCAATATTTGTTAGACCATCACTTGTATAGGAGTAATTTAGTCAATGCTGGTTGACTCATTAGATGAAGCATGCGCATTCTGCATAACGCACCTGCTACAGCTAAGAGCAAGCCACGAAGTGGTGAGAAATACTTTCATGAGGTGCTTAAATGATAATGCGCCACGCACTGTTTCTCGTGCTCCTATCCATTTTTTTTCAAGGATCGTGCTCATTGAGTCCAATGGACACACCGTGTCAACCAACCAATTCAACCCTATCCCGCAATTCCCGTGGAGTTGCAGAGCTATCAGATGGCTCCACGTGGCTTTCGGTCGTCGCGCGCCACGCGGGAGAGCTGCAGTCCATCCAGCAGCAACAGCAGGTGCGCCGCGTTAGAATACGGCCCAATCTTCGCACCACGTCGCATCTGCCACTCAGGAAAATATTACTTGGTTCCGCTGACTTTCTCCTCGCATCGTTCGCAGCTAGAATGGCGCAATGCATCCATTATTCCCACCTACATCGGTCGCTTGTATTTGGCTCGTTGCAGCGGACCGACGTGGCGCGTGGTTTGCACGTGCTGCGGGTAAATCAGGTGGATGCGTTGCGATTGGACGACGAGATGCGGTTGATGCTCAAGGAGCAGCTTATGCGGGTCTTCGCTCTCGTGCCGGTACTTCACCTCCTCCTCTTCCCTGCTCTTTCCACGCCTTCCCTCGTCACGTTTCTATTCCGCACCCCCTCCGTACCCCCCCTCCCCTCCCTCTTCCTCTACCCATCTGGCCCTTCTCCCTCACCTTCCCCCTCGCCCTGTTTCCACTTCATATCGCACTGCTTATTCCAATGCATCATTTCTTCTAACCCCATGCTCCAGATGTACGCCACATTCCTCCTTCCTCCCCCCCCGCAACGCACCTCCTCCTCTCCTCGCACTCTGACCCCCTCGTCTCCTCACCACCCCCTGCCCCGCGAGCCTAGCCTGTTCCTTATCCCTCTCCACCTAGCCTGCCCCATGGCCTGCCCTACCCTTCGACCCTGTGGTGCGCGTGCCCCTCCCCCTGCCCTTCCGCCCGTTTCTAACAAGAGGTTCGCATGCCTTCTGCCTCTCTGTCTATAGACTGTGCTCACCCAACAAAACCTTTTCCCTTTGGCTTTCCCCCCTGGCCCATTCCCCCCCATAGCGCATATCCTGTCACAGAATTGATTCTCATTCGAACGTGTCACTAAAATTGAATACAATGAGTTTTTATACTCAAAAATAACAAAGGATAATAAAATAATACGAACATTCGGGAACATGCCCTTCCCGATACCACAATCACAAGTGTGCACAAGCACGCAAGGCTATTGGCAC